CGCCTGGCCTATTTTTCTTTTTTTTTGAGATGGAGTCTTGCTCTGTCGCCCAAGCTGGAGTGCAGTGGCGCCATCTCGGCTCACTGCAAGCTCCACCTCCTGGGTTCACACCATTCTCCTGCCTCAGCCTCCTGAGTAGCTGGGACTACAGGAGCCCACCACTACACTCAGCTAATATTTCATATTTTTAGTAGAGACGGGGTTTCACCGTGTTAGCCAGGATGGTCTCGATCTCCTGACCTCGTGATCTGCCCACCTCGGCCTCCCAAAGTGCTGGGATTACAGGCATGAGCCACCGCGCCCGGCTGCCCAGCTAATTTTTTGTATTTTTAGTAGAGACAGGATTTCACCATGATGGCCAAGCTGGTTTCGAACTCCTGACCTCAAGTGATCTGCCCGCCTTGGCCTTGCAAAGAGCTAGGATTACAGGCATAAGCCACTGTGCCCGGCTGACTCTTGGGCTTTTAAAGCAAGCCCTCAGTGTCTGTGGGCCCCGAGTGCAGTGTCTTCCATTCTGATTACCCTGTTTCTTAGGAATGCATTAGAGACAGACCAGAGGGTCCGTGTGGCCCGTTGCTGTGAGGACGTCAGTGCCCATCTAGTGGACTTGTTTCTCGTGGAGGAAATCTTCCAGGCTGCAAAGGAGACCCTCCAGGAGCTTCAATGCTTCTGCAAGTATCTACAGCGGTGAGTCCTGTGTTCCTACAGGCGAAATCCACACACACGGGGAAGAGTCTTTTACCAAATTCAAAATATTTGAGCCATCAGTTTCTGTATTCAGTGGTAAAAGGATCAGGGAAAATGTTATAGCAATGAATACCTAAAATAGACTTTCATTGGATTATACTGCATTTCAGAAATACTTGATATTACACACACACACACACACACAACATAAACTAAGGGGAACAGTCAGGAGTTAGATTGGGGTGTGGTGGCTGCTCTGCATGTCAACTAATATTTATAGGGTGCCTGCCATTTGCCCACTGCACTAGGTGCTGGGAGACACCTGTGAACAAGCCAGATTATGGCTGCATGCACCAATAAGGGTGAATTCTCAAAATATAAGTAGTGGAGAAAAAGCAATTAATAGGGAATATACAAATAGTGTATATTCAAACTAAATAGGTTGTTTTGGATTTATATATAGTGGTATAACCCTGAACAAAAGAAGGAAAATAATGATCATAATCTCAGCATGGTGATTACTTTTGGGAATGGGAGGGGGTGGTTCTCATGGCCACAACTGCTCAACTGGATGTAAGTGCACAGGTGCTCGATGATGTAGTAATCTTATAACTGGGCATGTATGTGTTACGTGTGTTGTATGATTCATTTCATAATAAATTTGAAATCAGTAATAGTGTCCTTGGCAGTTGGAACAGTGTGAAAGGGAGTATGGGGAGTGTCCTTGGCAGTTGGAACAGTGTGAAAGGGAGTATGGGGAG